CCTCAAATTATTTTAGGTTACTTATATTGAGGCTGATGATGATCTTCCACAGTCTTTCATTCGATTTGATTCGCACTTGAAACAAAGAAATCTTCTTGCATAAAAGAATGCTGGATTTGCGAATAAAAGAGAAGCAATGAGAACTCCTCAGAAGAATTATTGAGATAAACAAACTTCAAAGATGTATGTGAAGATTCAGTTTCTCATCAGGATATGATTCTTGGGATAGATTGACAGCAATTTAATTAGTCTGAAAAGCTTGTGTGTTCCTTCTTTTCAGGACAAAATCTCAAAAAGCATGCATGGTTGATGCTGAGGTTGGTAAACTTTGATTAGATCCCCAAAGCGAATTCAGAGATTAGGTACTAATTTTCTCTGCAAAACTGCATGTTAAGGAACCTTCTTCTTTGAAAATTGTCTTCCAAAATAGAAAGAAAAACCGGCAACTGCGATTCGCTTTCGGTTTCCACAAGTTGTTTAACAAAATGTGATACCATCAATATTGACAACTACAAGATGATGAAATATATTAACCTAATACTGCAAACACTTGATGATCAAACTGCAACAACTAGATCTTGACAAGCCTCTAAGTTAAGCAGGTCAAGAGCTCAGAAGACATGCAGCAGCAATGCAGAGGACTTGCAGGGACTTGAAGACATGAGAGGGAGTGGAGCCAATTATGATCTTCCAGATAGGTAGAATTAAGATTTGTTAAACCAAGATAAAGAATGAGTTGAAGTCACATACTTTTAACAGCTACATAAAATAGTGAGATTGAGGATCATGCAGTCCTTATTAAAATCACTGCTTATGGTTCACAACCAATGAATCTATTCTTATGGCTGGTGCTCTGATTTGATCTCCCTTAGAAGATGAGCAGAACTCTACTTGTACAAAGCCTAAAAATATTCTGTGTCAAGTTGGTACTCTCTTGTGTTTCTCCTCTCCTTTGAATCATCCCTAAAGTTTCATTTTGGTTGTTTGAAGTCAAGAAGGACCACAATGCCACCTACATAATAAAAATGCTGACATGATATGTACACCTACCTCCCCATACATAGATTATACAGAGATCGTTCCAAGGAAGAACAATGACTCAGACCCAAGACACTCGATGAGCTAATTCCTACAGGAAGAAGAGACTGCATCAACATGGAATGTTTGGCTTGCCTGAAGGTTTTACATGTTGCAATCTTTTCTGCAGCTTTGTGGGTGTGCAGATACAAGTGATTGAGACCTGACAACACAAAGAGGTTGGCCTGTGGGGGACAACATTAGATAATTTACGTCAAGTAATCGAGCATGCAGTCGCTAAATGTCGTGTCATATCTCCCATTTCCTGTAATATTATTAAATGTTATTACATCCATCATCCTCCTTCACTTACATGGCAAAGATGTTGCCATATTGTCTGCCTTTTTCTAACATGATGACTGGTCCATGAGAGTTGGGGCCAAATTCTCTTCTTCGCCTACCACAAGCATCGATGGCAAGAAGAGGACACCACAAAATGTGTCATGCATCATAGCGAAACATGTGGAGGAATGCAAATGGATTCATCTTCCTCCATGAACAACGAGAGGAAGGTTTGGTTTGTCCTGTGTGAACATGTGTTGCTTGCTTGCATGATCGGCAGCGAAGTGGACCCAAAGCCGGTGGACGTCCATCATGGCCTGCTCTTCATCACCCCTCTCACCCTTCTGTGAAAACTCTGCCATCTTCACACCTCCATGGCACACGTTTAGGTTTAATATGTGCTGCTCCTTTGTGACTTCCAATCATGCATGCATGCATGCATTATTGTTGTGTTTCCCAACACAGTATAATATATATATCAGACAGAAACTTATCATGGGAACGGGGACAAAGTAAGCTTCTAATGAACTGGAGAATGGCACACAACAGCTGCTGTGGAATGGGGAAGTTTGATCATGTTTAGATACATAGCCAATCATTTGCAGCATTTCATTTTTATTACAGTTGCCGAGAGTCTGAGCCTTGTTTTCTCTTCTTATATAAGTAATGGTTGACATCATCAGTGGATTGCTCCATTTCGCTTGTCTCCTGTTGCTTGAAACTTCCATGGCTAAGAAAGGTGTGCCACTGTCTGAGATGGCAACTTCCGACACCCATGGAGAAGACTCTCCTTACTTTGTTGGCTGGAAGGTATACGATGAAAACCCTTATGATGCCGCAAGCAACCCCTCAGGAGTCATTCAGATGGGATTGGCAGAGAACCAAGTAAGTCCTGCATCCTAATATCATGACAAGTATCTTCATTTCTCTGGTCTAACAATTGTCTTTTAGCCTTCCTCAGGTTTCATTTGATCTACTAGAAGATTATTTGGAGCAGCATCCACAAGAATTTGGCTGGGGATGTGGAGTGTCGAGCTTCAGAGAGAATGCTTTGTTTCAAGATTACCATGGGCTCAAAACTTTTACAAGGGTAATAGCTCCTGATTAGTAGCAGCTACATCCTGTTCGTATATATAACTCATCTAATCTTCTGCCTGCAGGCAGTGGCACTTTTTATGGAGCAAATAAGAGGAGGAAGGACACAATTTGATCCTCAACACATCGTTCTCACTGCGGGAGCTACCGCGGCTAATGAGCTGTTGACCTTCATCTTAGCAGACCCCGGAGATGGTCTACTGATTCCTACACCTTATTATCCGGGGTAAGAGCTACGGCAAATCTGTAGATTTAGAGTGTCACTTCACCGTTCTAATTGGATTAACATGACAAAGCCGCTTCTTGTGCTGTAGGTTTGATAGAGATCTAAGGTGGAGAACAGGTGTCAACATCATTCCAGTCCACTGCAACAGCTCAAATGGATTCCAGATTACTCTCCGGGCCTTGGAAGATGCGTGTGCCGGAGCAGAATCCATGAAGGTTAGAGTCAAAGGACTCCTCCTCACAAACCCATCCAACCCGTTGGGGACTACAATCACCAGACCTGTTCTTGAAGAGATACTGGACTTCGTGGCGCACAAGGACATCCACCTGATATCAGACGAGATCTACTCAGGCTCAGTGTTCTCCTCCGACGAGTTCGTAAGCATGACGGAGATCGTCGAATCTCGCGGCCATCAGGAACGCGAGAGAGTTCATATCGTGTACAGCCTCTCCAAGGATCTTGGGCTACCTGGATACAGAGTGGGCACGATCTACTCGTACAACAACGAGGTGGTGACGACTGCGAGGAGGATGTCCAGCTTCACACTCGTGTCATCCCAGACGCAGAAGATGTTGGCGTCACTGCTGTCGGACAAGGAGTTCACGGAGAACTACCTCAGGACAAATCGAGAGAGGCTTAAGAAGAGGTACGAGTTCGTGGTGGAAGGGCTAAGCAATGCTGGGATCAGGTGCTTGCAAGGGAACGCTGGTCTGTTCTGCTGGATGAATCTGGGAGAGTTACTCGAAGAGCCCACAGTAGAAGGAGAGCTGAGTCTTTGGAACTTGATGTTGCATGAAGCAAAGCTTAATATATCCCCAGGCTCGTCATGCCACTGTTTAGAAGCAGGCTGGTTTAGGGTGTGCTTCGCAAATATGAGCCAGCAGACGCTGGAAGTTGCACTGATGAGGATGAAGGATTTCACGGAGAAGATGAAGGCTAAGCAAATGATTTCTTCGTTGTAAATTCCCTCATGATTAGAGTCATGCATTTGTGTCGGATGATTATATAGCAAATTCATATACACATGTTCACCGTGAGACTGCCTCCTCTGTTCTCTCTCGCCTTTTTCCTTGTTGCTGTTCTTTCTAAAACCACAGAAATGGAGTTCAGATTCACAGAACTGCATCAATGTCCAAACTAATTGTCCTTGTGATGCCTTAAACTAAGGTTTGGACAAGGCCATAGTTAATTAATCTAACTCAGCATATTAAAGTAAACACAACGCTGTTCATGCTTAACTCAGTTTCTTGTAGTCTTCAAGATACATGCAGCTAAGATTGAAGTTGTTCTTCGACCAATAAAATACATGAGCACTCGAGCGACAAGTTGCATGTAAACAAGACGAGCTCATTGTCAGCGAACACACGGCAATCACTCGTGAAAAGCGGCGCAGCAAGATATATGAGTTGACCTTCTGATCAAGCTCAAACAGAGCTGCAATGTTTGACCATGTTATGCAGGTCTCTATTGAAGGTCAACATCATCAGCCGTAGTTTCTGGTGATATCTTCCCATTAATTACTTGTCTGCAGAGTGTCAACAGCCAAAACATTTGGAGAGTATCCATCTGATGCAAGTCCGGCGATGGACTTGTAATCCATTCTCCGCTGCATTAACAGGACATTTGTGAAGAAAGTAAACGCTTCTTTAAGCGCTTTAATGTAGTTTGGAAGAGGTAGATAATTAAATGGAATTTGCAGCCCATCTCATTGCAGAATTACCAGGTTTGCAGATCCATCGGAACTGACAGCCATCAGCATAAATCACAAGAACAACAGTATAATCTCGATTTATTCTAAGAATCTATAGATATATCAATATTAATTTTAAGTTAAATATTTTGATCCCATCGAAAACCAGGATCTTGATATTAGTATTAGAACCAATCTAGTATTTGAATATGATAAAAAAAATTAAAGTAAAACAGAACTATTCATTGATCGAATCACTTGACGTGAAATTACCGCTGAGCTACGTCTCATATACATCGTATTTATTATTTATGCATGATGAAAAAGCTTGAAAAAAAAACTTTCTATTGATGGAAGGACTCCGAATGTCAAATCTTTGAGCGAGGAAGATTATAACATTCTGATTAGTATGATCTTAGTTTGAATATTTTGATGAAATAAAATTGATTGACTAGTTAACCATCAGACCTGACAAACAAGGCAAATTTAGCTTAGCAGGGAAGTACTGCAACAGACATTGCATGGATTAGTAAGATGATGAGTCTCCACCTTTCTTCTCTCTTCTTGCATAAAGAAAGCTAAGAACAAGAACTGAACCAAACTGATAATAATTTAGGATCTGATGACAATAGTCTCTTCTTTATGTCTTTGATAATAATCAATGAAAGAATGGTTAGTACTTCTATACACTGATTCATATGAATGGACAGCTACAGCTACAGTAAGCGCAATCAAAACAGCTTCCCTGCGAACTCCTCGATCTCTTCGTCTTTACATGAAGGAGAAGCATATGATGCGAGGCGTTTGAGCTCGGAAAGGCTTCTTCCAAGTTGCAAGGCCATCTTCAACTCAAACAACTCCCCGTTCTCCCTCCTCTGCTCATCCTTCTCCCCAATGTTGCATTCGATCTCCTCTTGCAGACGCCGGTAGAACCCGGCGCAGTTGCGGAACAGCTCGAACACCATCCCGACCTGTCCGCCGTGCTCCAACGTGTTCACTGCAGCCGCAAGCACGCCTCCGACGACACCAACAAGTGCTGGCGCCGGCCCGAGAGCCGGCGAGCCGATCAGACCCGAGCCTATCGCAGCTAGGCCGGCGAGCAGAGGCCCTGCGGTGGCTAAACTCTTGTTGATGTTCAACACCAGCTTCCCCAATCTAACGTACTGCTCCTCATCTTTCATTCTCAGCACTCTAAGGATTCCCCTCATCTCCTCTTCCAGTTCTTGGCTCCAACCGTTCCTTCTCATGCCATTTACTGCTTGCTGCTGTCTTGATTGCTGTTTAGGCCACCATTGAGTTGGCTCCAAGTTCTCGGGGAACTTCTCGAGCATCCCCGGAAGCAAAGGAAGCGGGTAAGCCTTCTCGAGTGCGATAACCTTCTGCATTGCCTCCTCGATGTCTAACTCGGTCGGAGGTCGGAGGGCGAGAGTCGTCTCGATCGATCTCCCGAGCTGCTTCCACAAGCGCGTCGCGTTCCTCTGCTCCTCTGCTAGCTGAGAGGGTTGGATCTTGCTTGTGATCAGCATCATCCCCGTCGCAGCGGCGAACAAGATCACGGAGGATAGCTTGAAGGCGAGGAAGTGTGGCGCCGCTGCCTCACCGGCCGGGATGGACGAGATGCCAGCCATCAGCGAGGACGTGAGAGTGATGGCGTTGATGGAGCCGGTCAAGAGGTGGTTCCAGTCGTTCCTCTGAGCTCCGATGATGGCATGCATCTCGGCTCTATCGGCGATGGCGTCGAGTATGGCATAAACCTTGGAGACCAAGTGCTCATCGTTAGAAGGTGCCATCGGCTGAGGCTGAGTGCAGCCGGTGGCTGCGTTATCTTCTCTCAAGCTCAGCTCTTCTCTCTGCAGGCTGATCATTTGCGTGATCTTGGGAAGAGATACGCCCTTTGTTCTCAGATTGGCGGAAGGAACATGGAGACCGGCGCGAAGTTTTCGGTGACTCGAGATGGAGGAAGAGGAGGAAGACGATGAGAAGAAGAGGTTGTGGGCTTGTAGAGTGGCCATGAGTGACCTCTAAGATGTGTAGCGTGCACAAGCTTTTCTCTTCTCTTCTCTTCTCTTCTGTTGGCTTTGTCGATTTCTTGCAGAACAGCTGCGGCTTCTGAATGAGGTATGAGATGGAGAGAGAGGCATGTATGAGATCTATATATATAGTTTGGCAGAGGTTGCATCGTTGACCAGCTGAGACTGTTTGAATCAGTAAAACGGAGGAAGATGCTGAAACTGTCAATGCCACTGTGTTGGACTTTGACTTCCTACTTTTACTTTGGCAGAGTCATATATATTTACTTGTTCATGTGACTCTTAAATCATAAAATAAGTGATTAGAAATTACCAACAACATTGAATTGTTCAGATTCAAGAATTTGAAACTCTGATTTGGTGGATTGAAATACTCAAATACAAATATAAAAAAAGGACTTTTAAGGTGATTCAATCAACCTAAATTTGGTCCATTGACCAACTTGTTCATCCATTGCTACTTAATCTCATATGTGGTAATAAATTGGAATAAGAAATCATCCACCATCGGATGGAGCATGAGATTAAGGAATTGAGTTGGTAATAATATTATTATTATTATTATTATTATTATTGGTCAGTCTTCGTTGACCTCGTCCATGGAGCCATTCAATCTTTGAAGGTTGAGTCAGGCATACAACTCCAAGAACCAGGGTTTGACCCAAGACCTCTGACTTGGTATTATAGCCAAACCAAGTCAGACCCAGTTAGGGTCGAGGTTGACTTGGGTCCGGTCTTGAAATCAATCCTCACCCAACTCGATTTGGGGTGGTGATGTCGAACCAATTTAAATTATCTCTTAAAAAGGAAGTAAAAAAAAAAACATCAAATTCTGTCTTGATGGAAGATCACAATATTATCTATATAAATATTAAAATCTATCAAACAAGAATAAAAGATTATTCTTGAATACTATCTTCTTTCGAGAGAGTTTGTAGATGGAAGATCTATATGTTAAAACTTTTATGAAAATAGAATCGAGAGGAAGAACAGTGCTTCATGTTGCCTTGATGTATTTGTAATTACTGTCCCAAGGAAGAACAGTGCTTTTCTGGTAAATGGAAGGTGTTACCTACTTGTGTTTAGGATTGACCTGAGGCTATTTGCAATCCATCTCATTGCAGGTTTACAAGGGTTGGATGTTTACAGATCCATCGAAACTGACTGAGAACAGCTGGAAGTGAATTTAACATATTTAATAGACTAGTATTCATGCATTACACCAATGGCTGATAGCCTAAACAAATCAAAGCTGACAGCTTGAACATGAATCACAAGAACAATTGAAAAGCTTATCATGTCCATTTGCTCCAAAAGAATTGCATTACAAGTTCACTGTTCGATGAAGAGAAGGCCACAAGAATGGATTGCAATCCACAAACATCACCATTTCAGCTTAGCAGGGAAGTACTGCAACAGAGATTGCATGGTTTTAGTATGATGATGATGATGATGATGATTCTCCACCTTCCTTCTCTCTTCCAGACAAGAGAAGTAAATGGTGAGGTTTAAGAAGACATATGGAGATGCAAACCTTTTCGATGAGTGACATGTAGTATGGCTTCACTTTGTCAACATCTATTCTGACTTTGCTCTTGCTGTAAAGGTCATATTTGCTGCAACAGATTGGACCACAATATTAGCATTCAGGATGAATGAGCACTGAAAGGAATGATCGATGGAGAATGACAAGTCTTACTTGAATATATGAAGCCACTTGAGATTCTCTTTGTCCTCCTCATTCATGAGGTATTGATAGGCACCATGCTTGTGCAGAGCTGAGGCATAACGCAATAGTTTGGAATTCAGCATAACAAAGTGAGCTCAAGATTCAGGTCATGAGATCTTCAGCTAAAAGCTCTTAGACTTACGGTAAAACGAATGGTAACGGATTATAAAAAGACCAGCTGAGGGCAAAGTACTTTTGTTCTCCTTAGCCACCTGCGATTGACAAACCGAATAATTTCATATCATACTAAGTTAAATAAAAAGAAAATGTAAGGCATTGCTCGAGAACAGACCAAGTACATATAATCATCATGCCCCCATGACATCAATACATTGTTAAGTCCACATCCCTCTGAATAAACTCCAAACTTGGTATTGAATTTAGGATTGTGGCCGTCAGGGTTTTCCTTGAAATGCTGTTGCAATCAAGACAAATTTTAGAACAAAAGAGTGGGATGACTTTTTCCTAACAATTCATAGCGTAGTTCGAAACCTTATGATGAACATTGCATTCATCGAAAGCACAGCCAACAGGGAATGTGTCACCTGAAAGTTGTTTCATTATCGATGATATCGTCATTATGAGTAATTCGAGTAGCAAAAGGTTTCTTCTTGGTAAAAACAAAAGAATAAGATTTATGATGCATACCAACAACGGCCCATTGCGGAAGTTCGCCAAAGCTGCGATGGAGAAGCACCTTCCCAAGATCTGATTCCCAAAAAGAAAGACATTTCCTCAGATCCTACTCTTATTCAAGAACACCATCTTATCATAGAGTTGCACAGAAGCAATTTAACAAAATATTGAAGGTTATACTCATCGATTGAATCGAGTAGAGAAGTGGCAAGCAATTGTTTTTGAAACCACAAGAAGTAGAAAGAAATTGTGAACAGGTAAAAAATAGGAGCATGTAGGATAAATTCAACAGTTGAACAAGAGAAATTATACCAAAACCACAGAACTGTAATTGGTCAAATAATTCACATCAATGAAGGATTATTAGCACATGAGTTTCGCTAACCATGAATTAAGCCTGTCAAGTGAAGCCAATCCTCATTAGGATAGTCCTTCCTAATTGCTTCAGCAGTCTGTAACAAGTGCTCGATCTGAGGTTCATCAAGATCAGGATCACTCTCGTCAACAAACTCATTGAGCAATTCAATGCACTCCCAAATGCTCATCTCCACCCTATCCAACTTGCCATACTTCTCTCTCGTTCTCTTGACCTAAGCATCAATACGCAACTTCCATCAGTACCAAGAGCAAATAATCAGGGCAATCGTGTCATAACCAAAGATCAGTGCCACAACATACGAAATCATAGGTTTGATGAATATGATTCATCCGATAGAACTCTTCCACCGTCTTCTGCCTCTCAGACTCTGCATTGTAATCTCTGCAAATCAACACATTCGACACTAATCAGAATCCAGTGATATAAATCCCTGCAAATGATACGCATTTCGATAACCAGAATTCTATGCGATGCTACGTTTTCCTCTGAAAAGGCATTCTAGATATCAGCAAATCTTATCAGTAACCAGAAACAAACGCATCCTAATTCATAGAGAGCCAAGTGAGCCATTATAATCCAAAGAGACAGAGTCTGTTGATAAGAGACTGTACCTGAATGTATTGCCAAATGAGTTGGTATCAGGCACCACAAATCCACCGTTTCCCTTAGCTTCATCGGCCACTCCTGCACCAAAAGGAACCCCACCCAATCAACAACAGAGTCGAACAATAACACACAATGCATTTCGAAAAGAAGACACAAATAGCCAATCCATCAGCCAAAACGAAAAGAAAAAGAAAAGTTACCTGTTTTGGGCTGCTCGACGAGGATGGTCATCTTCTCCAAGAACTCAACACACGCAAGAGACAACGCGTTGCCATCTGGGTGAACGAGAAGAGGGTTTTTATAGGGAGGGAGGAGAAAGCTGTGCCATTGCGGTGATGGTGCAGAGAACAAACCGATCGAAGACAAAGATTTGTTGCGTTCGTAAACGATCGAGGATGCGTGTCCGTGAGTCAGCGATGCGTGCCGAGCTTATCGACGACGACGCCTATATTTGGGCGATGTGGTTGGATTCGGCCCCTCATGACGTGGCGCCGTGTCAAGAACGGAGACCGAGTTGCTGGGCGGCTGGGGGGGATGGGGGGATGGCGATGTGAGAGGCGAGTTCGCAATCACGATACCACGTCAATAAGCGTGACAGAAAATATCAGAGGCAGATGGATCGCCAGATATAAATCTTCAGATTCGTGCCTGCTTGAAGTATCTGAGATTGGATCGAAGATTACTGTAGTAGTTGGTGGCATGCAAGCTTCAATTCCAACTTTTTGTTGTTGCATGAAGAAGGTGAAGCGATCCGACCAGATCCACTTTTAGATGAATATGAACAGCGATCTCGATCTTTAGCATTGATCAGATTACGGTGCGTAGATTGATAGTTTAGTCAAACGATTTAATTGATAGAAGCAATCATGGAGACAATGTAGATCTCTATTTACATCAGAACATCCAACGCACGAAATTATTAGAACAGCAGAAGACAAGCAGAGCATCAGAAAAAACATGATTTTTCTTCGTTGGTTTCATTCAACAAACAATCGGCATCTTTGAATTTAAGTAGGTTGATGAACAAATGTCAACACAATCAGAAGTCAACTGATGAGAAAAAGCTTCTTTTTGCACCATGCGATTCAAAAGAGTCAATGGATATGTAGATAACTGTATCATCAAGACTTACTGGGATCACATCCCTGGTGAAGCAAAGCTGCGGTTTGGGACACAGCAGACTCATTTTGATAATGGCTGGTGGTGATTCCTGCAGAAGACAAGTCTGAGTCATCATCTTGACGACGGTTCGTAGTCGTCGTTGAGGAAGATAACTCGACTGAATCATCACAGTTTGTGCAGATTTCGGATGTGTCATGGATCTGGGTGGTGCCAGAAGAAAGCTCCAGTGCCAGGCATTCCTTCAACTGCATCACCACTTCACTCATGGTTGGCCTCTCAATGGAGGTAGGCAGCGTACACTTCATTGCTATTTCTGCAGCCTTCGAAACTGAGTAAGCATCGTATTCACCTTGCATTCTGTCATCTATCACAGCATTGATGTCTCCCGATGCAAGTATCCAGTGAACGAGTTGCCCCCTATCTGGATTTCTCAATACAGCAGGAAGACCTGTGATCAACTCCAAGAGAACCACCCCAAAACTATATACATCACTTTTCTCGGTCAGCTTGCAACTGAAAAAGTAACTGCAAAAACAAAAAATTGCATCAGCATAGGCTTTCTTTTTAACTGCTTAATATGTTTAAAGAATGCAATCACTAAGGAAGTTGATGGACTCATCCACTTGTATGGCTTGGCTTTCAGAATCCATCACCGAGCTTAATGAAGTAAAATGTAAAAAAAAATGGAACACCTAGTGCTTCATCCCACCACTACTACATAATTCCTGAAATCCAGTGTACATAATTCATGCTGCTCAGACGTGGCAAGTGAAATAAGATCATACTCTGGATCAAGATATCCCATGGTGCCAACCACAGCAGTTGATACATGAGTTTGGTCATTTTGGAAAATCCTGGACACCCCAAAGTCGGATATTTTGGCCTCTCCTTTGTGGTTGAGGAGGATGTTGGAAGGCTTCACATCTCTGTGGATTATAGGCGGCTTGCATCCACTATGAAGATATTCCAGGCCTGTAAAAGAAACTCCCAATCTGAGAACAAGATGAGAGGACTTGTAAATGTAAATCGAAGTGAGTGCATCTCATACAAACCTTGGGCAGCCTCAATTGCAATTTGGAGTCTCTGAATCCAGTTTAAGAATCTGGTGGTACTACTTTTACCTACAAAGATATATTACCAAGGAAATACTATTTGCAGAGACTTAGATTTCTGAAAAAAGATATTAGCTACTTCATAGAATAAGCATGAAGGCATTGATCAATTCCCAAAACTCCAAGTATTCCAAAACTGTGGTCAATGAGGAGAAAACTTGACCCTACTTTGGTTTAATCTTGTGCATTGGGAGAAGGCAGAGACAAAATTCTAAATTCCTAGAAATGATCATGGAACAACGAATTAAGTCGAAGGAATTTCCTTCAAATATAATGTGCTTCATTTGCTTACAAGCAAGGAATATGACCACAAAAAAATATAAAGTCGAAGGAATTTCCCTCAAATATAATGTGCTTCATTTGCTTACAAGCAAGGAATATGACCACAAAAAAATATAAAGTCAAAGGAATCTTATGTTAATTCTATCCCCAGATATACGTGCAAAAAGAATGTTTGCAGTAACAATGTGACCACAAAAAATAAGAAGCAACAACAGTGATGGTCAATCTGCATTGATATCTGAACACTTGATCACATGGGATCGGTAAGCCAATTCATAACCCAGTTAACAGACAAGACACACTCAATGCCCACAGCGAGTGAGCCTTTATGCTGGCCCCACCATGATTCCTCAGCCTGCATCTGTGTTGCTATCTAATAGTCACTGGACATTACTTTCGACGAACTGCTATGCTTAAACAAGATAAGACCATGTCACTCTTGCTCATGTAAGGAGTTCACATCCTGCCCACAATCCCTCATCCATTCAATACATGTTGGCCCATAAGTGTATATAGACCTGCGGCTAGAACAACACTCTCCTCCAGTGACAACCAGGAGTCTCAGTTTTTATCCGCTCAAGCAGAGAACCCCTCCTATAAATGGATGATCTTTCACTCAGATGAAAGAATGCTGACAACCCCATTTGCATCTACACCCTTTCTTTATATTGTTAGCCTCATTTCCTAATTTACCTTGCTTGAGCATAGGAGTGGACCCATGGGGGCGCACTTCAGAGCTCCCATAGTCGTCGTGTCTTGTAGAAACTTCCTCCTCTTAGGTGTCTCTTCCATTCATCTCAGGAGGCTATGTGCTACACAGTGTCTTCTCGGCCAGTCAGTTGATCTCCTTAACTTAAAGAAGTGATATACAAAAACAAGTCTTTTAAAATAGCAAACTCAATTGGATTCTCTTAGTCTCATTTTCAGAATAATTTTAATATACTCCTAGAAGGAACCGATCCCATTCAGAAAGTTTAATGCTGCTAATTTAGTTTGGAGAAAAATTGTGTGCTGGTAAATACTACTATGTTATTGTTTCATGTCTTTTCTCTGTTTATCTTTCCTTCTAACCTTTTCTGGTGTCTGCTAGGTTGAGTTGGAGGATTTAGTCCCCTTATTTTCAATATTTCTTGTCATTTTACATATTCAGATCAAACGTATTTGGACGAAATTCATTAACTCAAAAAGATAAAAGCAATCAAAATTTTCTTCTGATGCGAGTGATGGCCTTTCACTATATCTGCAGGTTGAGTTGTGGTAATTAGTCCCTTTTAGTTTGCTTTTCACTTTTTTCTTTTACATATTCATATAAGATGAATTGGGCTTAAATCCATCTTTCTCAAAAAGTAAAAAAATGACACCAACACAATCTTCCCAGATAAAAAGATTGTTCTCAGTGCCTCATATAGCAGCTGACTGAATAATTGAATAGTCAAGCTTTATAAGTTGAATCTGGTTGCCAAAGGAAAATGTAGATTGATACATCAAGTTACCTCGAAGATGATCCTCAAGACTTCCTTGGGCCATATACTCGTAGACAAGCGCTAGATAATTCCCATCTTCACAATATCCAACCAAAGACACAAGATTCTTATGATGTATCCTTGTCAAGAGTTCTCCCTGAAAACCACGGTTAATTAAATTCTTGTATAGGATTACAGAAAACCAATTAGCAACTAACCATAATAGGATTGCATGTATTGCATAGACTATTAGTGTTTAAGATGTAAATCTTCAAAGGAAAGAAAACTACCTCAGCTTGAAACTCATTTATCCCCTGGGATGATGATTGAGAATTCACCTTGACAGCAACTTGAGTTCCATCTTGTAATTCACCAAGGTAAACTATCCCAAATCCCCCTTTACCAATGGCATGCTGAAAGCTTTTGGTAATAACCACAAGATCTTCAAATGCGAATTGTCTACTTTTTAATTCAAATAGATCATTTTTATCTTTTAGATGTCCTCTGGAGTGACCTTCCTTCTGTGGCTTCAAAGAACCTGATGCCATATCAACTAAGATAAATTAAAAAATGCAACAACTAAACTTGATTATTCATATTTATAGCAACAAGTCTTGCTAGTGTTTCAAAGGCGGAGATCGTTAAGTGGAAAATTGGTATGAGAAAAGCACCAAGTCAAAAAGAAATTGTTGCCTTAGTAGAAAAACAATGATGAGACAGAGAACATGTGACAAATTGGAAAGGCATTAGAAACTTGAGCCAATGATCATCTCTGTTATAACAATCTCCCAAACCAATGAATAAGAAAGTTCTCAAGAGCTTGGATTTGAAAGTGCAAGTTATATCTGACTGTGCTAGAGCTGAGCTTATGCATGTGAATTGGCACCATGTCATTGTTGCATGACCTATATTTACTTGTTATCTACCTGCTTGCTTCCGCCTCATTTTCCACATACATGCTGCTACCATCAGCAGGAATGCTGCTGCAATTACCACTATAACAATGATGATGGTGACTGATAACTTCCGTTGACTCTGACATGAATTGCTTCCATAACAAAGACCAGAATTGCCCCCAATTCTAGCACAACGACAAATTCCAGATTTTAATAATAATAAATTTTGGAAATATAAATTGTCAACCTTAGCACAATATCAAACATGAATAAAGAGAAATATACTGTGATTTAAGAAGAGTACAAGAAGTCGATGGTTCTAGAAAAGATAACAAACCTTAATATAAGAGACTGGTTTGCCGATCTTATTTGAAGAAGAGTAGGAACCGGCCCTTTCAGTTGGTTGTTCGACAAGTCTCTTGCAAAAGAAAAACAGTGTTGCGCCATCAGATAATTTGATTATCCAATTGCTAAGACTTCAAAGCCAATTTTGGCACTTACAATTCTTGTAGAAAATGTAATTCTCCAAGTGCATCAGGTATTTCTCCTGACAGACTATTATTTGCTAAGTTCCTGCAGTGAAAGTTCAATCATATTGATATTTGTCAACAATGTAGCTTCTTTTTGGTGTCTCATGGATTTCATACTTCGACCAACAACATCAGGAAAGAAGTTCAAAAATGCATTGAGATGTGCCAGAGTGATGAATCATCATGTCCAAGAATTATACTTAATTTTAGTTATGTTAAAGCCAAAAGAAAGACCTCCATTTCATCAGAGAGGAATATATGGGGTGGTTTTAAATTCATGAATCAGTCTGTGCATAAGCTAGAACCATTACTTAATGTGGTCAAATGATAAGTATAAAATTTTGTAATCATCCAATCGGGCAGTCCAAAGAGAAGAAATGAATCAGGGTTGTGGTCAAATGATAAGCATAAAATCTTGTACTCTTCCAATCAGGCAGTCCAAAGAGACGAAATGAATATGGTTTCTTTATTAAGTTATGAGGCATAAATCTGGTTCCCAGGCCATTTATTTCTTTGTCCAAGGAATAAGTAAGTGAACTCTAAATTCTGAAATTGTTGCTTCAAGCTTGTGTGCCAGTTCTGCATGGAGATGTTCAGATAATCATGAGAATGTGAATTCAATTCTAATTATTACACTTAATAGCAACTTAAAGCACCTCACATGTGGCTAAAAGAACTTTAATGATTATTTTATGCATGTCAATATGAAATTAAAAATTATGGACCCCATTAGTGATGTTCCTTAAGAGGGACACAACCAGAAGTGCTCCATGATTGCCTCCTTATAGATGTGCCTAGTGAGTCAACCTATTTGATGAAAATAACAGTTATACCATTGAGACACCTTTAAGTGGAAAGAAGTAAGCTTTATCTTCACATCATCATAAGTCTACACGATCGAAAAACTATTCTGCATGAGAGAGCCAAATTGTAGGATCAACCATTCTCAATTTGGAAAATTCAATATGCTGTGAAGCTCATTTGCCTCAACTAATACATCTATAGGATCCATTTTGCAACCTACTGATGATGCTTGACAAGACATTGTCAATTGCAAGATCATGACAACAACAACCAGCCACTAAATATTATTTGGGTAATAACCTATGGCAACATTATCTTTCTATGGCATTTTTGAACATGCTAAAGCCTGATAAGCAAAATCCTATTATATAAAGGTACCTATAATTGATGATCCAAGTATACTTCTCAAGTCTGCTAAAAAAAATGCCTACATGATCTCCTAGCAACCTGGATCAATTGGTGGTGATGTTTGTGGTTTCTTCTCACCAACAATCTTTGATACAGTGTCCTCATAAAGATTCCTCAAAAAGACAAAGGCTTGACGATGTGGAAATAAGGCTAAGCAACCATTCTCAATAAATTCTTCAGTTACAAACAGTGGAAAATTCATTCATCCTAGGGCACAGCAGCTCCCCATTTGTATTTCGTCACCAGGAAATATAGCTGACAGCTTTTATAAATGAAGTAAAACACCCAGATCCACTATGTTCTACTCATCAATGTGAATCATCAAGTCAAATAGTGTCCCATGCCAGGTGCCCATAATAGATGGCTTTAGCTGTCCATCAGAAGCTCTCCCACCTGTTTGATGTTTGCCCTGTTGTCATTCACCAACCAAATGGCATAGAACTTTCACAACTGCATTGAAGACCTTCATCATAATAGGTCTTGGAATCTTGCTAATGCATCTACTAATTTATGGAAGACAATGGTATATTTGCAGTAGATGAAGAAGTCCTAACATCAATTATTATGATACCAATAGTGCCCGACTTGAAATTCTCCAGAAACTGCAAATCTCCTTAATGTCGCCAGTTTCATTTTTAAACCTCAGCAAATGCTATAAAATGCTCATAGAAGAAAGACAAGTGCGGACAAGAAAGGGAAACAGCGGCATACCAGATAAAGATTTTAATGAAATCAATAAAGCCTGGGTCATATACCTCCTATTAATAAAGTATCCAAGACTTTTTCCTAATATAATATAGTCTCAAAAGGAGAAATGAGAGTGGAACTAAGGAAAATTGAGAAGGGAGGCTTAGTTGGCTCCTTAAACACGCATAAACATGATTTTACAAAAACGGCATCCGTTTCTTTTTATCAAAAAGGAACATGATTTTTTATATAAGCATAGGAATTATTGAAACAAGTGTAACAGTACACTAAGTAGTAACTCACATATCACATGCTACATGATCTCCAATAACTCCTAATCTAACCATTCAATTGGTATCATTTTAGGTGGTATGCATACTTGTTAGAAAACACAAGTAAAACATATAACATAACAGAAAATTGCTTTTAAGTTACATCACTTCTAAAAATAAGTGCTGAGGTGGATAAGGCTCTGAACACCTAACTGAGCACATGAAATGAGCAACCTTATGCTGATAGACTGAAAGTCTGTATCACAAAGGGAAGACATACTTATTGTTCTACATTTGCATTTCAACTATCATATACTTACAAGTATCTCAAAGCTCCAAGCTTGGCAAAAGAAGCAGCAATTTTTCCAGACAATCCATAATCAGCCAAGCTACTGCAGATATACCAATAAGAATATTATATAAGTAAGAGTAATACTATGGATTTTCTCATGTATATGATGATTATTATCCATGCCACATACAGATTTACAATTCTTGGTGACATGGAGCTATTGTAACTGCAACCCAGTCCTTCCCAAGCATAATTTCTTGGACTACATGGATCACTTATCCAATTTTTCTCTATGTGGTATGTTTTCTTCACATCCGCGATTGCATCAACTGGTCCCACAAGGAAAAAAAATTAGAAACTTAAAAAACACACTCTCAAATTAAAAACAAAAATTAATAAACTTTAGAAAGGATGAACAAGTACATTTATACTACAACTAAAACAGCCTAACTTCTACCACCAAATTATTCTTCTTACAGTTCCACACTCCATTCCTGATCCATCCGACTCCAGTTTCTTTTAACCAAATTGGGGCTAAATCTAAAGAAATTTTGATTTCAAAATATTCAGCAAGCATAAACTTTTCTTCCATGCCATCGATTTTTTGCTGTGGATGGTCAATTGCAGAAACATATATATACTAGAGATAATATCTGCCCGTGTGCATGCGGTTCACTTCGTGCGAAATGAACACAAGCCAACTCATGGTTTTTCCCTAAAGTTTATCTTTCACTTGGTATTACATTATACATTTAAACTAGTTAATCCAAATAACCATGTCATAAGTTCACATGTTCACAGCTTGCATCAACTATTTCGGTGATATTCTCTTAAACTGTTTCCTACAAAGTGCTCTTTATCTTTTTCTTTCCTATCAACCAGTCAAGAACCTTGAAACAAGATAACCAATAATTTTAGCAATTATTGTATCACATTCAAAAGGGTGAAATTGTATGACAAAACACAGAAGCAAGTTCCTGTTGAATCTTTTCTTACCACCAAAGATGTGAAACCTATGTGTAGCTACAGGCTCTGAGACATAAATATAACATGAATAAGAAGAAAAAAGATACTGCACATAAATTGCAATCAAAGAAGAAATGGATTGGAGACTAGTGATTACTCACAAGATACTGTAATTTGTCAATACGGCTGCCTAGTCTCCCAGGAGATCTCTGGCGCACTGCACAATATCTAAATTTTGGACTTGATTACCTTGGCCTTATTAAGGTTCTCTACATATGCATTCTTCACAAATATGGAATACAATGCCAATAACTCTCTAAAGTTTGTTGTGTCCACACAGAAGGAAAGAGAAAACTCAAAATGCCCTATAGCACTGATAATTGCTTGATTGCTGGATACTTTTTTTTTTTTTTCCTTTTTTAGGATTTTCTTTTCATTCATGCCCACTGAAAGTTTATATGTTGTAGGTAGACAACAAAGGAACAGTTTGAAGGTCAAAAGTCACAATAGGTTTCACATCTTAAGATATATATGCAAGCACCTTTGTTAACATTATCTTCAATTATTAGTATCCAAGTTAAATGAATTATTTTCGCATCTCCAACTGCATGTGATCTCTGTTATTCAAACTAGAAGTGGCCAACATATTTTCTTGAACAAAAATTCAGCATTGATTTGATAATCTTGCAATCTGTATGATATGATAGACATTTCACTGAACATGTGCATAAGAAATTAAACGATCAAGAGAAAATAAATGATGACCTACCATCTCCATTATCTGTAGCCAACTCTGAGAAGCTCTTCACTTGGTAGACTTCTATCGCATTCAAAATTGGAGGAAGGGTGGAATTGGCTGCCTTTGATATTCTAATCATGGATCTTTGATTTATAGACTCCATGGTGAATATATGATCCGTCTGCAAGTACCGAGGGCTGAAATTTCCATGCCACAATTTTTCATTCAAGAAGATGTCAAATATCCGTGATTCATTGCTCCTAAGCAACTGGATCTCTGCCAAGTGCAGAACAATGTGTTGTTGTATAGTAGGGTCGGGAGTCATATCCCAAGAGATATTTATGTTGGAGCCATTAGATGGTGCGACAAAAGTTCTCATGACTCTTATTGGAACTTGAAAGCCATCGTTTTGCGAGCTACTGATATTTGAGGAAGTATTCAGCGACAAAAGCGATAACTTCGAAGGTAAGCGGTTGTCAGGAGTCCACATACGATCATAATCATCATATGGATACCTAATCGATCATAGTCTAGTCAGTTGTCATGTACATGTTAATAAACTCTACTAATCTTGACCTGAGCTATCTAAATATATACCCATGAAAGCTTTTATAGTTAGGTCTTATAACAAAAAAACAAAAAAATCACAATATGAGATAGTTAGGTCTTATACCCATGAAAGCATTTTACTAAACATATGGCTTTTTACATATCTCAATGACGACAAAAGATCCATGTAGTCTATCCTAAATAGTTGAGACTTACAGTTTTGTTGTTATTGTTGTTGTTGCTATATAAATTTGTAAACAATTTTCAAGTTAAAATTATTCACAATAGTCTAGTTACATGAAGACTGTCAACATAAATGTGATATATAATATGAGCATGTATATTTGACACATACCTAAATACACTTAATAGCAAGGTTCGCAATACCGTATCGTATCGGTGTTTCGACCTGGGCTCGGTATCGGTATAATACGGTATACCGAGCGGTACACCCAGATGTACCGAGCGGTATACTCAGGTGTGCCGAGTATTGTAGCTCTACCACAGTACTATAATGCACTCGGACCGGTAACAGACGATCCGCGTACCGGCAACCTGTCGGACCAGTACGTACCGCCCATACCGAGCGGTACAGTTCGGTACTGCAGACCATGCTTAATAGTATATTTTTATATTTCATTTTTATGAATTTCATGAATCTGTTATTTTTCCAAAATATAAATCATACAATCTTACCATATTTACACCAAACTCTAGATTTACAATCTTTTCTTTCAATAAACTTGTTTGTGTAAACTTAAGTGTGGAACTTGTGACTATGATTTCTTCTAAAGCAAGAAAAATAATGTGAATTTAAACATAATCAGAATAATTTAATGGTTGTCATATTCATTCAAGAGCTGCCGCTTACCTGATTGATCGATTAGTGACTGACCCCAGGTCATATCGTACAGGTTTGAGAAAGAAATTTGATGCGTTGAGAGCATTGTAAAGTCCACCCAGAAGCCTTAGTTCCAATGATGAGATAAATGGTGCCCCGTCTCCAATGCCGACAAGGCATACTGATATAAAATCAGCTGAAGCAACAATCATAGTCTCTGTCCCGTAAACTTTAGATGCACTTTTAAACTGAAAGGAATCCCAAAGATTTACCCCTATGTAAATGTTAAACCGTGGTATCCGATTCTTGCCATCATAATTTCCATACATGAATCCAGCTCTGATCATATACTTGTTCCCCTGGCGGACGGGCTTCAGAGTATAGCAGTTTCGAGTGCTATCAGAAAAGCTTCTCAGGTTCATGTTCTGAACTGCTTCTGCATTGGGTAGATAATCACTAGAAATATTATGATTTTCTCCTGTATCGATGTATGCTGCATCAGAAACATATTCTATTCCTGTGAGATTATCTTTATAGCTAGTATTTGCATCAAGGCCACAATCAATGGTTATGAAACCTGCAAACAGGGGTTTATGATTACATTGGTGCTGCAATATTGTGTGAAACAAAACAGAAAAGAATGTACTTGCAGTTTCTATCCTTACAGAAGGGGAACTACATTTACATAAATCTTCTTTTAATAACAGAGACTCAGAGAATATAACTTACCAGAAAAGGTTACAATACAGCATGTATTATTTTGAATAGTTCATCTAAAAGCTTAGTTGAAATTTATATCCAAAGGATTAGAGGATCCAAGTGAAGCAATTGGCAAAACCAATCAAAAGATTTCAGTAGATCCCTGTTGCAAAAGGTTAACTGTAGAAAAAGAACTTGAAAAGGCAAGATTATTTCTTTCATGGAGCTTTCCATAAAGGCGAAAGACTTCCACCGAGATACTAATACTAAAAACAGATGCCCCAAGACGCAGGACAGTCTGTACTAAAAGAAACTTTGAAAAGATACCTGGCTGGCCTTGAACTAAGATTGCTGCAGCAAAGATACACCAGAAAAAGAAGAGAATTTTTGTTGCCATATCACAAATTCTTGAGTTTGAGATGAAAGCTCAGATGGCAGTACAATTTTTTCAGTGCTGATTTATTCGTCTCTTGAAATGCATTTGTTTTGAAGAAAGCAAGTCAGCAAAGGGTCATTAAGCACTCCTTATATTGAATTTTCTCATCCACATATCATGCATGATAAGACCAGTTTGTGGCTCTTCAAAGTCAGAATACTTCCTGGTTCTAGAGGTTTTGAGAAACTAGTCAATCGAGTTATGAACAAGAAAAAGACAAGCGACGGGAGAAAGCCAACAGTCATCTTTGAATTTTGAAATATAGCCACCAAGGCAAGAAAAAAAAAAGTATACTTGGACACAATTCTTCAGGAATGTGATATATTAAATAATTTAGTAAAATCTACTTAGTTAATAGCTGAAAACTATATAATAGCCTTTCCAAATCAGGCAGTTGGATAACTTGATGGGAACTTGAACATTCACTTCCATGAACAAGTGGAAAGTATGACCAATATTTTGATTGACTTCATGTGTTCTGGGATTCCTTTTTTACATTGTGTCATAATTGTCATATAGTCAATGGAAGAAGACATTCTCCTTCTTGTTCTTTATGAAAAGACCAATCCCTAATGGTTGATTTTGTGATTTGGCCCTTAAATTTTGGGGACAGGAGAGAAGCAAAATCATGAGAGAAGAATAAAGATATCAATCAAAGTACAGAGCTCAAGATTAAAACCTTCACTCTCCCATTGTTATGGAAGACGCACAAGATAAGAAGACCCAATATTTCACTCACCTATTTGGAGGACCACTTTCACCACAATCAACAATTCCCATGGGAAACTATATGTCACTATCCGGCCTGATGGGATAATCGATTTGTTAATTTCATTGAGTTCAAATCATTGATCAAAATGTTTAGATTGAAGTTAACATTAATATACTCATCGAACATTTATAAGTCAATCTTAGTTTTAGTCATGAACATCATGTGAAACTAACTGGCGTGTGACAATGTACATCATTCCAAAAACAGAACTACGCAGGAATCTTCCAAATACCATTGTTGTCATACCTTGCTGGGCGTGAACTAAAATTCTTGCAGCCAAAATAGAGCAGAAGAAGCCGAAGAAGATGAAGAGAGCCGACATTGCGTCCACCTCTCCGGATAACGCTGGAGTCTCCCAGGCAAGCTCTGTCGGTAGCACTAATATTCGAAGAGTAGACTTGTTGGGACCGAAGAAAAGTCAAGATCCAAGAAATTCACATGCGAAGGGTCCATCATGCTTCCCTCGATTAGGCTTGGATGCTTGTTTCACCCCAAACGTGTTGGAGCTCATCGTTATCTCCTCTTCGCTCGTCCTTTTCTTGCTCATTATGGCGTCGTACCTGCACAACCTTGGAACAGGTCTCCCCCCAACGCATGGCGCAGGAACAGCCGGCGTGGCGGTCGTCCCTCCATTGGGACACAGAGAGCGATGCTGTTCGACAAATTTTTGAAGAAGGCCGGTAGTAAAGACCATGGACTTCGCAAGTATTGGACCCATGAATTGATTGTTTGATAGATCCCTCCCAACCAAGAAATAAAAGCAAAAAAATTGTTGCGTAATTGCGCCGCAAGAAGAACATCCTCCTCTTTTTTCCTTAGGGCCTGTCAAGTCGCGATAAAGATCTTCGAATTGTTCCTCAACTCAAGAAAATTATGGCTTACCGCAGGTCGCTGATCCGCCATCAAGCGGCGTTTCCGTCGCCGCCGATCGCAACCCTATCAGGATGGTCATGTATCCGCGCCGGCGGTGGTCCCTTGACAAGGCGGCCGCCCGGACGCCGGTGTTGGGCGCGCGCGGGTGTCTTGCGGAAGACGAGAGGAGGATGGACCCAGCTTCGTTTCGGGTCGGGTCGGGTCGGATATAAATCAGCAACGTCAACCCGTTAAGCTAAGTGTTGTGGGTTGGGCCACCTTTAGATCCATAACCCAATATCGACGACAAATAAGCCCGATAGAATCGCGCGTGAAAGAATTAGAACTTACAAAGGGTGCAATCTACTCTGCTACATCAAAATTAGAGGAACTCAGATACATCTCTATTCTATTAAGAGTGTAAATGAATTCATCTCGTGACATTTGTGGCTTAAGCTTTCAGTAGAATGACAACAATCAATGACATAATATGTTATAGTTATATTCTTGGATTAAGCAGAATGAACTGCACATCTTTCTTGAGTTGTAGCCACGGGTGATGAGGTTTCCTGCGGTTCTTCGACGCCCAGTCATTTAATGCTATTAATTTGCATTTATTTGATCGAAAAGAAAGGGGATTCAGGTTGAGTTCAGTGTTCCCATTGTTTCTTTTGATGAATGTTTCTGAAGAACTCTTCTCTCTCCCCACGGCAGCAGCACGCGTGCATGAAGCATGAGATAGCCCGCCTTGTCTGGGTGGCAGAAGACACCAGCATCCTCGCTCTTCTTGTTTTGGCGTTCTTATCCTTTTGAGCATGGCTGACGGCGCAGACCATGTAAACGGAGATGTGCTGAGCAATGCCAAGCTTGCAAGAAATGAGGCTGGGAAGTGTCAAGATCCGTCAAGGATAGACTACAAGAGAATGAAACCAATGGGTACGCTTAGATGAACCTAACATTATCCTCATTTCCTCTGCAGTTGCACCTACTCAAGGACAAAAATTGTGTCTATTGACAAACCTACACACAATCTTCCTCTTCTCTTACACTCCTCCTCTTGGTATATTCTCTTTCTTGTAGGTCCAGCGCTACGAAGAGAAGTTGCTGACATGAACACAAGAACGAAGCAAAACAGGCGTGGGTCGATTGTTCTATGCTTATTGTAATGTTTGTTTCGTAGATTTATATTCTGCTGTGGTGGTAATTGATTCCGTAGCATAGGAATAGTGTACAACAACACATGGTCATGCTTGTGGTTGAAGACTGCTTCTGCTCGGGCTACTGAGATATCATATATTTAACTAGCTTATTCTATATGGGGGTCCATCAAGTGTCCTGCTGCTCGGTTGCCTTGGGTTTGAAGCAACGTATAGATTCACCTCCTCATCTCTCTTCTCTCTGCAAAGTGCAAGACCTTCTTCCTTCATGCCGGAAAGGATCAACATATTAGAACATCCCAAGATCCATGTGAGCTCCCTCACTCTCTCTTTCTCTCCCTCTCTCTTTTGAACCCTATGATTCCATTAGCAGGGAAAGGAAAATACATATCCTGATTCATCATTTCATGCGAGGAACACAAAGATGCAGCTGCTGCAAGCTGTATTCAGTAAGATAATTATATTTTGTTGGGAGATATTCTGCCATCAGTTCTTGCTTGGACTTTTCTTAGGGAGACAGATCAGAATTGTCCTGTCCTTTATGCGACTAAATTCCATGCACTGTGTTTATTGCTTTTAATTTGTTTAGTAGTATTCATTTTGGGTTCTTCGGAATGTGCAGTAACAACTGTGAAGGTTCTTCCCTGCTTTTGCTTTGGCAGCTCAACCACTGTAATCCAAACCCTCTCTCTCTCTCTCTCTCTCTCTCTCTCTCTCTCTCTCTCTCTCTCTCTTTATAAATATTTTTTTTTTTGTGTGTTTATATATACACACACACACACACAAAAA